TCAGGGACAGTCCCAGATTTACAGAAGCTGTCTCAGTTTCTGATTTGATCCTGGAATGTCCCACTTTTCCTTAGGATGTCCCTATTTTCATTGGAGAAATGTTGGAGGGCATGTCAAGCCAAGGAGATAAGAAACTATGCAACCTTTAGAAGACATCTGGAGGTTACCATGTATAGGGAAGATTTTAAGTGTTTAATGTTTTAGGTTTTTATAGTGTTGGGAGCTGCCCAGAGTAGCTGGAGCAACCCAGTGAGATGGGTGGGGCTTGCTTTATTTATTTATTTATTTTTATTTTATTTTATTTGACTAGGACATCCCTATTTTCACTGGAGAAATGTTGGAGGGTATGCAGTCTTGGTGTAGATGGACTAATGGTCTGCCTCTGTGTAAGGCAGCTTTCTATGTTACTACAAGTCCTTTTACTGTTTCCTTGGTCACTCCAGTCCAGACTTTGTCCCACGATGAACCCTGGGCTTGCCAACCCTGGATGACAGGAGTGCCCGGGGAGAAATTAAAAGTACCCATAAGTCTCTCTCCATTTCCTAGTGTACTCCAGAAATGCATGTGCCACCTGGGGTGGTTTTAGAGTCCCTTTGGGCAGAATTAATTTTGCTGACCTGGAGGATTGGCTGTTCAGGTCTGGAGGTGCTTTCTGCTTGACAAGATACTAGTAGTTATGGGGCTCAAAGCCAGGGTAGGTACTGCCAAAAAATGTGACACTATATCCATTGCCCCATAGGTGTTTGATCCCTTAAGAAAGCTGTGGTAATCATTCACTGTAGCTGCTTCATCCTTGTCTTTCCTCCTGTTCTTGGGGCAATGCAATACAGAAATGACATTATGTAAGGCAGAACCTGGGGAACCTGCAGCCCTCCAGATATTGCTGGACTCTGATTCCCATCATCCTTACCATTGGCCATGCTGGCTGACACTGATGGAGGTTGGAGTCCAACAATGCCTGCAGGATCACAGGTTCTCCATCCATGAGGCAGGGGTAAGACCTCTAAGCATAGATGGTATGCCAAAGGTTTACTATAGTAATGGTTATTTAGGGCACAATTGTATACATGCTTAGTGGAGAATAAGACTCATTGGACATAAAGGGACCTGCTTCTGAGCGGGTGGGATACACATCTAAAAAATTAATATGATTGTGCTATTAAGTCTAGATTCTGTAAATGTTCTTTTCAATAAAGCTACATTATTCTCTTTGTTCTCGACGTGCAGACTAAATCTAGCTCACAGCCTTTATACTGAAATATCGTTATTTGTAACATTTCTCCATTCTGGTTAAATATTTTCCTACCTTTAACACTGACCTCCAGATTAATTCTGCTGAGATAATGAAAGGCAAAAATGTTCTCAGTTCCATTTACCTTAATGCAATTTTTTCCTTTGAAAAACAATTCCCATTATATCTTTTTTAAATGAAGTAATCCAACGCTATGCAAAAATATTCTTCTCAATTATGAACAGCGACATTATCTATAAATTCAATATGGAATACACATCATGTGGACTAGGGTCTGTAGGAGGTATTAAAGTTCCAGTTTAGTCTTTTTTTATATATAAAAAAAATTAGTTTCCATTGTCCATTTAGTTTCAGATCTCTCTTCCATGTAGGAATGACAACAGACCTTCTTGAGCTGGTTTTCTGATGTTTTCTCATCCCCACAGGTTAACTGCTCACTCTTCAGTAGCTCTCATTGATTTGAGAGATGACTGGCAGGCAGTATGAGAACATAGCACAGCGGGCAAACATCACACAGGTTTGCCAGCATTCACCCATGTCCTAGAAAGCTTTGGTAACCCCTGGGAAGAAAAGCATGCACACGACAGGATGGGACTAAAAATAATTAATTCCTATGTGGTCCTGGGTACAAAGGGTATATTTGTCTTGCAAATGGACAGCAGTGTGTAGTCAGAGGCCAATGTTGTCTTCAGGCAGACAGCATCAGCCTGAGGTCACAATGGCATGTCTCTCCTCTTCAAGAAGACAGTGTCAGCATGAAGTTAAAATGGCCCACTCTCCTTCAGGCAGGCAGCATCAGCAGCATGAACACTTGGGCACCATCTCTTCCTCACTGAGGAGAGCGTATGCAGGTGGGTGTGGCCTCAGCCTGTCATTCTCTTTTTAGGGTGGGCAAAAGCGTTACGTGGGCAGGATGGCCACAACTCCCTGTCTCATACACTTAAACAGAAAGTAGCAATTCAAAGGTGCACGATAGTCTACAAATATCGAGGGTTTCAGCAGTACAAAATTGAGACATTCATTTTGGTCTGAAGTTGTTGTTTGTATCATTGGACATACCCATATCATTGGAACATAAGAACAGCTGCTGGATCAGGTCGGGGGGCCCCATCTAGTCTAGCATCTTGTTTTCTCAGTAGCCATCTAGATGCCTGTGGGAATCCCGCAAGCAGGACCCAAATGTGTAAGCACTTTCTTCTCCTGTGACTTCTGTTAACTGGTATTTGGAAGAATACTGCCCCCAACTATGGAGGCAGAACATAGCCATCAAGGCTAGTAGCCCTTGAGAACCTTTACTTCCCTGAATTCCCTTCTAAATCACATGTCTCAATGAGCCATTTCCAGCATTACACCTTCAGCATCTATCTGTATTAGATAATACTTGAAACATTAATTTTTGCTGATTCAATCTCAGTTTTAAGCCTCAGGAGATGTTCTAAAGCCATTTTCTATTGTTTATGTTGTATAACCTGAACTTTTATTTTACAAAAATCCAGTAAGCGTTTATGGGTTTATTGCCCAATTCTGCAGCTGTTCGCTCCCGTGACATGGAAGGTGATAGGGATTGCATTGATAGAGTGTTTTCTTTTCTTTTCTTTTTTTTTAAATATAATTTTTATTAACAGGCCAATCAAATCACATTATTTCCAAATCACATTAGTTCCAAATTATACAGCCAAATTTTTAAAATTTTGTTAAGGGTACCCATACTTCAAGCTCCGAACGGGGGTCCAAGCATCACTTTTATTTCTGCTTTAATTAGACAGTTCTATCCAGTTCTATCCGGATAGTCTTTTTATTACTTTCTTCATCTTGTTGTTATCGTATATTCCTTTCTTTGCGATCTCTGATAAACTTCACAAGCGGGTTGAGAGCAAACATCCTCTGTGTGGGTTTTACAGTCTCCAAAAATCATATCAGGGACAGCCGCCATTCCACACCTCCGTAAAGAATTTATCCTCGGTCTGTCCAATAATTTCCCCAGGCTTTCCAAGTATATCCGAGGGCTCTGCCAGGTTTAGATCACATTCCAGTCATCATTCACATTCCAATGATCCTGGTCCTCCTCCCCCCGTCTTTCTTAGACAAGCCTGTCTTAGCGAGAAGCCATTTAAAACTGCGTCATAAAATTTTCCTCCGTTCTCCGGTGTTTACCAATCGTCTCTTTGATCCATAATTCTCTCCACACAGTTCTTAAAATCCTGCTTGTGATTAATAAAATGCAACGATTCTTCTTTCTGAGGTGGAGGGTTATTAATACTCACATAAGGCAAAGAAAAGAAAAGTTTTTTCCTCCACCCCCCTTCCGTTTCACTCCAAACATACCAGTCTCTTAATGGTGATTCATCACTTGATTTATTTGTCCCGCCTGTTGCTCCGGTCCCAGAGATCCATTAATCAGCAGTCTTAACTCCCGAACCTTGCTTGATGTATGTGCTTCAGCTTCTTTCCAATTATATATTTCCAATTATATTTTTGAGCTGAAGCAAACCAGTGCGCTGATTGGAGAAAGCATCAGGAAGAGCCGACTTCACCGAGGGCTCGTGCCAAGTGACTGGGCACCCCCTTCTTTCGATCCGGGGGTGCATTATGGACACCGCTGGCAAGGCAGTCCCCCCCATCTCCTTGGGGGGGTCGGGAAGGCTGCATACTTCCCATAGCAGCCTCTTAATTACCTCGTGTGGGTTGGAGAGATGTTATTGTCAGCCATCTTCCAATGCGCCACCTGGTGGCCCCCGAGAGAGTGTTTTCTAAGTCTGAGGAGTTGGGCAAAGCAATTTCTTCTGGCCTGGAATGTTCTGTAGTAGGGAATAAATAACAACTCTCTGAGAGGTGTCTCCTTGCTGTCCATTGCTTCCTCTGAACATAGGGTGGGATGAAGGCCAGAGAAACTGCATCAGATAGCATGGTGTGACTGTGACACTTACCTGATCTCCAGCAAGGTGCAAAGTGGAACCAATGCAGCACTCCTACCAGTGTCTTTACACCAAAATGACCTTGTCACCACTGTGTTCTTTCTCCTCCTCTCCATCCTGGTTTGCTGTAACAATCAAGAGAGATCAGGTGAATGCTGCAGCCCCACCCTGCCATCCACTGCTGCAGGTAATGTGTCAGAAGTTGTGTAAATCTACTCATTAGGGTGGGGATGCTTTCTGTTGGGAATTTCCATTCCACCTTTAGTTGCAGACATGGAACTGTTGCGTGTCTCATATCTGTTTACATTCCAGCACGGTTTGCTGGGAACTTCTGTTGTGTATAGCCTTTGCTTTTGACACTCCCTGATGAGACGAAAGAGAGACAACATGTTTTCCTTGTCCTGATTTATGCTTAATAAATCTGTAGCTTGTTAGTATGCTTCCACAAGCCTCACGCCACTTCTGTTTGCACAGTAGGCTCTGCTGATATAGTGTGCTCAGGCTTTGAAGTCTGAGTTGCTGATTTACATCACACCAGAGATCGGGGGATCGTCACTGCTGGAAGGGCATGATCCAGCTGGGGGCTAGCCAGCTGGCTTCCCGAACCCCGAAGGATGCTGACACTTTCTAACAAGATGCTTAAAGTAAGGCTAAAGTCCTAGGCATTCTTGCCAAGATGCAAGAAACACATGATTGCAGGGTGGGACTGCAGAGCAAACATGTTTAGAATTGGCCTGCAAATCCCACAGGATATTTAGCATATATGTAGCACATTATAAATGTTCAAAAAGCCCCTCATAAAACAGGTCAGTGTTGCTCTCCCCATTTTGCAGGTAGAGAGTGGTGCAGCTGAGACAACAGAGCCTTGGCTAAAGCCACTGGATGAATTTGTGGCTGAGGTGGCATTTAACCAGATATTTTCCTGTTACGTAAAAATTACCAAAAGGATTAAAAAGGCTTGTAAAGACATTGTGATTGGACAATAAGTAATTTTAATGATTTTATAATTTAAAATGGACATGTGGTATGATGATAAACAATGGAACCAGGGAAGGGAATAGGGGGAAGTCAACTCTACTTTTTTCTATGTTTGAATATGTATTGTTGCTTTTATTTTTTGTTGTTTTTTGAAAATTAATAAAATAATATTTTTTTTTAAATTACCAAAAGGGAAATACGTTATTGCACGTTCTGCACCCTCCTTCCCACTGTGCCTGGAATCCTATTTTAATCAGCCTTTTTGACTTTAGCCTTCAAGCTTGCTATTATATAATTTATGATTAAATATGAACAATCAAGGCCTAAGATGTAGAGCAGATATAAAAAGCATGTTGTGGCAGATCTGGTTAGCCCCCCACTTACGGATGTCCTTATGAGCTGTCTCTCGTGATATTGTACAAAATTGAAACCAATGACATTTAATTACAGAAACATTACAGAATGTCTATGCCACCATGTAACAAAATTTAGAAACAACTTAATCTTTCCCTTTTCTGTACTGTATTGCAAAAACTAATTGCAAAGAAGCTTAGATTTCTGTGATATCCAGAGATTGCCTGTGTCATACAGTTCAAGCTTCTTTAAAGAGCCAAAATAGTTTTCTACTGCATTAATACAATCATTCTTTTTCTCTTCTTTGTTGTTTCATTTTCATCTATATTTGAACAGATCATTTCTCAACTACTCATTATGGATTCTGCTGTACTGTTAATAACTTGCCCTGGAATTATTTGTGCATATTATGAATGATGACCCAACGGCACTTAAAACATTTTGGCCAATACATTTATGTATGTGTGTGTGTACACCCACCCACACACCCCTTGGCTAATTCCGTTCTCTTACATTAGAAGGTTATCTTATCTAGTCTATTAGAATTATTTATATATTATAGCAGATATATCAGTGCTTTCCAAGATTTTGACATTTGGAGTTACACTTTTTTCTCAACTAGAAATTGGAGACACATTTAAGTCTAATTTCCAAAAGTGTTGTTTGTGCAGTAATAAGAATTTACCAACACTTCAATTTATTTTAAACTGTGCACTAGTGTAAACTGGTATACAGTTTATAATAATAATAACAATAATAATAATAATTTATTACTTATACCCCGCCCATCTGGCTGAGTTTCCCCAGCCACTCTGGGCTGCTCCCAATCATGTGTTAAAAACAGTACAGCATTAAATATTAAAAACTTCCTTGGAGGACTTTTAAAGTTATTTCCATGTTGCTTGAGTCCTGGAACTTCTTAACTAATCATTGCCTAAAAGAATGGCAGTGGGGTAGGCTGTGGCAAAAAATAGAATATACTAAGAAGAGCAAGTTCCAAGCAGTCCTGTTACTTGTGCTTTCATCTCAATTGAAAAATTTGCTGGCTCCTAAGATTTGTGCGTGCACAAAATGTTTACCCTTTGTCTATCACTGTTAGCAAACTTCTGATAGGAATCCATTTTCATAATCAGAACAGTTAAATCAATCTGAATTCCCCATTGCAAACAATGTGGCTGGCAACAGAAACACTAGTGTCTGATCTGCCTGGCCTGCATGCAGAAAGCATAGGTTTTCAAAATATGTAACAAATCAAAGCCAACAATCAAAACTCAACATGTGACTCCTTCAATTATAGATAGCATTGAAAATCGGAACGTGAAAGCTTAAGATAAGAAACTCAGTTCACCTGTATTTGAAATGGAAATTTGCCTTGGGCTCCTTGGCATGCTTAATATATGATCAGTTTATGTGCCAAGCGTTAAAATGTATTAGGACCAACTGGTGTGATCTGAGATCTGAGGGTGCAAATGTCTTGTCAAGTTAAGTACTTTATATATTCTGGGTTAAAGATTCTGTTTAATATCTGGAATATTGAACTATATCCATTTATCTTTTTCCTCTTTCGTATACTTGGTAGCATACAGTATTTAATATTTTTTGAATGGTATGCCTCTTGGGCCTTAGGTTCCTAGTATCAAGGTTCCTTATGTTCCTTGAATCTCTTTAAAAAAGAGATGATGCTTTAGGGATGTTGGAATGTTCGCATGTTGCACAAGCACATCTGAAGTCCCACTCTTTCACCAGAATATTTTTTGGAAATGAGGCTTGGATATAAAGGGACAAAGCAGGAAAAGAAGGGAGGAAGAACTGATACCCAGTTCATATTCCTGCAGCCCAAACCCAAACATGTTTTCTCAGACATCCTGCAGAGATGATGCAATTTAGTTGATGTGGATAGGACTGCAGACTTTTTCATGTTGACACACCAGATTTCTTAACCAAATAGTTGTTTCTGCTTGTGAATTGTTCAAAACCACCATAAGAACTTGCATATCATTTAAGAGTTGAAAAAAGGCTTCTTTGCAGTGACAATTTCCTTTACTGAGTTTTGACGGAAAGTAATAGTTCTTTTTCTCCTTGTATCTTATTAATGTCAGGATTGTTTTTGTAGTGGATAGGTGGTAACTGATCTGTGGTATCATTCAATCAATATATACGTTTAAGTTAATTTTTTTTACTGGGCTATAGTGCCTATACACCAGCTCATCAGGAAAAGGTACAATAAAATGAAGAACCACAGTGACGGTTATAATTATAATAGCAAGCACAGTTAAACTTATGCTAGCTAAATAGCCTGTCTAATCTTTTAGTAAGATCCCTCTTAAGACATACAGAGAACATTAAAGTGCTTTCCATTGAGGTCACCAGAAGGTCAAATGCTATTCCGTTAGAACCAGCTTTGGATAGGGATGCTCATGTGACCTTTTACAAATCAAAGATTGCCTCACGATTCATGCTAAAAACCTTCTATGCTTTTGGCAGAGCACCTCCTAACTCATGGGTACTTAAAACTCGTGGAAATAAAACTCAAAGAAAGAGCTCTTGGCTGAGCTTTTACACAGAAAGTTTCTTTACATTTTATTTTTAATAAGTCTTAAGATACGACTCCATTCTGAGACTTTCTATGGGGAAGCCCTATGGGATAAAAAGGTCATTATAACTTTAGCTAGTGGTAGCAGTGCCAACGTCTTAGCAATATGGACTATTGCACTTATAGCATTGCTTAGCCGTCATAAATTATTTGAATACAAAATCGATCATTGGAGGAAAATGCAGTTAATTTTGTTATGGTGCACACCCTTTTATTTTAGTCAGCATGGAAATTACTTAGTAGGATGCAGGATGAATTTTGCCTCCTTCATGCTTTTGAGAGGTACACAATGGGAAAGGCAGCGCACATTAGCCCTTTTCAAGTGACCAGGCAAACACGTGAAGGATAATGCCAGGATTGTGCACACTGTCCTTTTTGTAAACTTCATATGTTCATCTGATTGTCTATCTGGTCCTTGCATGCGTGCAGTTTGTACATTCATAAGGTATCTACAAAAGCAGGTTGCAAAATGCAGGTTAGAGCTCGGTTAGAGAAAGTTTATATGCATAATCAGATAATCAAATGTACACGTAGATGTATTCCTGACCCTTCCCTTCATAATAATGTGTACTTTGGTTCCTGGTTCTTATTATACATTCCCTTAGTGCTCGTGTGCCTCGGACTAAATTGATAGAGCAATGTCCCTGAAACTGAGCTCAGGCATCAAACCTGGCAAAGTATTCTGAGCTCTTGTGCCCTTCCTCCAGAGCAGGACAAAGAGAGGTTGCCAGACAAAGCCAGTCCTTGGAAATATGACACACACAAAACAATTCTCCATGTGGACCCAACTTTGGGGGGGGGGAGTAAGTGAAAGAAAATAAACAAGATGGGAAATGCAGGAACTGATTCTTGTATTGTTACCGACCATTTATTCACTTTCTCTCTCTCCTGCCTAACCATTTCCTTTCTCTACTGTGTCCTGGACTAATAAAAAACAGGAGCAGGGAGCCGAAGTACAGCAAGTTCTGGGAGATTTCCACTGGGTATGATGCATGGAGCAATCATGTGAATCAAGACTTAATCCCCACCCCTTTAAAAGTCTTTACTGGTCGGCAAACGGAATTTTAATGCGTTGCATTATTATTAACCTAGGTGTCTACCTTCCATTTTCTTTTTCCTTTCCACTATGGTCCCCAAAAGCTTTTAAAAACAAAAACAAAAAACAAATACATGGGATTTCTCAAAACTGAAAGATAATGGCTAAGAAGACATTCTACAATTGCCTTAAAAATTCTCTCTCTTTTTAACTTGATTTAACAGTGATTCCAGAGTTTATTGGTCAAGTCAACACTGCATTGGAAAAGATAAGCAGGAATACAATTCATCTGTTTGATGACAATCAGTTTGTTGACATCTCCAAGAAGGTCTATGACACAATTCATGACATTAGATGTTCAGTCATGATGATTCGGGTAAGTGTCTTCATTCTTTCATGCATTGCCAATTAACACAAATTAGTCAGCCACATTGCTGTGCAGCATTCATATGAACGAGAGCTAAAGCCAAGTGACTAAGCAAGTGTGAAAGACAAATTCTTTCAAAAAATAGTTTGCATTTTGTTTCAAGAAACTGCACTGTAACATTCAGAACCAGCCACTGGAGAGAGAAGGTGTGCAGTGTGTGGTTTCTCCTACTTAGGAAGAATCTGTACTGCTCACAGATGTCCTCTTTGTAGACACAAATATTTATGCTTTATGTGTATTCTTTGTCCAAGCCAAATAATATAACAAATAAAACACATTAGCAAAATAAAATAAGCAAGAGTTATTGCATAGAATGTTTGTGTAGCATATGAAGAAGAGTTTTTTGACAGTGTATCCTATTAGCTATACAGAAATTGTTTTGAAATTTAGCAGCTATTTGACAAAGCTATTATTGCTACTTGATTGAAGGCTAATTTTGGATTATAGAATTGGAAGGGACCATGAGGATCCTCTAGTTCAACCCCCTGCAATGCAGGAATCTTTTGCCCAATGTGGGGCCCAAACCATGGCCCTGAGATTAAGAGTCTCGTTCTGTACCGACTGGTGATGTAACAACATAAAGTAACCCTATTGACAACGCAAGGCAGTAACTTTGGCTGGGATTAAAATTAAAGAGACATTTAATTTCTGTACTGGAACTGCATGGACACAGGGTATTTGATGAGAGCAGAAGCAACTTTGGTTTCTCAGCCTCCAGCTCCATGATAGACATGGCTTGAAAGTGAATAGCTGTGAATGCTCTCCTTATGTTACAAATGCCCTTCAAGTCATAGAATATTCTAAATCATGGTATATTTTAAGATGGCAAAACCAATGAACTAATTTGTAATTCTAGATTTCTGTTCTATTCTGTTTCACCACCAAGTCTTGGATGTTGGGATTTAGCAGCTATTACGCTTGATTCCATGGCTCATAGATTCCTTCCTGGAAAACAGGTGTGCTCTCCTGACATTCTGCTGAACCCGGCTGTGAATGATTGTGTGCTCTTGGGTTTGAGAGAATACATGTCCCATGTGCTTTTGTGCTTATGAAAATCCTAAAGAAATGTAGATTCCTCATCCTGCCAAAATGAATAAGATTGTGTTAAATGGCAAGCTTCTTTCACATTCTTCACACACATTACATGCAAATTATGCAGAGCAAACACTTTTGCTACATTATCAATATGTTCATTTTTTCTAAGAACAAAGTATAAATATACGCAGGATAAAAGGATAAAAGTTTTCAAGGGATGTTTACTGCCTTATATCTGAAGAGGAAGATCAATTTTATTTCCCAAACATGCATTTTCATGTGCTTTGGTATAATGAAATATGGGGACTTTTCTGTAGGAGATACTTCTAAAATACTGGTAGCAGATTACTGCATGGAGACTGTGAGACATGGGGGTGTTCAGGATTGGGCTTGCATCTAAATTAGCAAATGAACTGAAAATCCCAAATTAGCTCATTCACAGTGTTGTTAATGGTGCTACACCTAGTATGGATGTTAAAATCATGTATGAAATGCACTCGCCATTTAGAGCACTCACCTTGGTAATACCCAGTAAAATAACCATTAAAATATGTCCCTGTCTTCTTGCTGTGCTTGTACAGTGTGATGAGGTCAGAAAAAGATCTGTTGCGAATGTGACAGGGGGAATGGAGGTGACTTTTTGCAGAGGATGTAGGAAGAAGTGAACACTTTAGTAAACACTGAGCAGAGCTTTCTCCGCTCCAGAAATCCTCTAGTTTTATTGAAACTCTTATTTTTATTCTTTTGCTCCCCTTGAGATTCCTTGGACATTCCATCAGAGACCAAACCTCCAAATTCTACTCAAATTTTGCTTTAGGCAAAATTGGTTGCAGCTCTGCTTTCGACATCCATCAGAGTCCTGAAATAACAGCTTAGTGCTTGATAGCACAGGAACAGTTGCACTTTTCTCGCTCTCTCTCTTGCTCCCTCATTCTCTCCTAGACAGGCTAGCTGAAAACTCTTGCTAGACTATTATGGAACAGGACATTCCAGCAGAGGTGTTTAGTCCTATGATTATCGAAATCTAGTTTTTCTGTGCCACACGAAAATAGGCTTAACGTTATGGCAGGTTTTCAAGCAGCCCTTGCCTGTTCGCCTGTATCAAGTGAGAGTCACCTCACGATGAGGAAAGGACACTTTCACCGCTCCTTTTCTTTTAGGCCACCAATTGCTAACATAGGCACGTATGGGAAGGCAGACTAGAAAATATTTTTGTGGACTAGTCTCTTCTGTGTCCATATTTGGAAGGCTATGGGCAAGATAGGTTTGGAGGAGCAATGCTGACCTGACCCAATAGAATTTGTACTGCTAGACTTCACAACATGTGTTCCTATCAAAAATAGAAGTCACTATTTTCTGTCATTCATTTGAGTGATCATCTTATGTTGGAACCGGGGAGAGGGTAGTTCTCTTATTCTAGTAATATTTGCATTTGGTTTTCTATAGTTATAGTTGTTTGAATTGTGTCAGGATTCCCTTCCTTATTGTGTGAGTCACTCTGAGGCTTCTTTTGTAAAAAACACACAACAACCAACCAGCAGATTAATATAATTATAATGCATAACATATAATACATTTCATTATTTGTTAATAGTACTTATGCCTTGCCTTTCCATTTTGAACATAATGCTTTATCAGGCTGTAAATGGTCTTGTCCAGGAACAGTTCCTGCGGTTTGTAATGCTGCTAGTATTTATTTTTAAAAACACCCCTCTGTAGAAACTCTTCATTCTTCCCCCATATCCAAAAGACAGCTGTTACACAGCTTGTTCCTTTCTGCCATTTTTAATTCACCCTACTCAAGGGCTTACAGCAGGGATGGGAAACATGTGGATCTTCGAATGTTGTTGGTCTGCAAGTCCCATCATCACTGACCATTGTCCTTTCTGGCTGGGGCTAATGGAAGTTGGGAGGGCTGCAGGTTCCTTGCGGATGGACTAGCAGGTGCTAAGGAGAATGAATGGAAAAGTAGGAATCGCAGGAAATTAGTCCTAGGCAGGTGCCCATGTTTCCCAGATACTGGTGCCAGCTGTTACCTAATCTGCATTAGAATATGCTTAACATTGGCAACTCAAGGAAAAGTCAGAAGAAGTTAAATAGTCCAATACGCCATCTGGACATTTCTGTTTCATTGACTTTGTTACGAGAGCTTGTCACCTGAAGTGTTTCTGAGGTTTGCTTTAATAACAGAGGGCACACTTCCCCTTACCCTTGAACCAGAGATCTGGTTCAGAACAGTGCCTCACAAAATGAGTCGAAATAAAGAATTCCATGCATTTTGAAAGGAGGTGCATTCATATTCCTAATTAGATACCATCCAATTAGTTGTAAGAAACAGAACTAATACCTGCCTATAAGGCACTTCAGTATCTCTAAATGCTATTTAGGCATAAGCACTGTCTGCAGCAGCCAAGGTGAGGGAAGTAACATGCTTTACAGCCAACTGCTGGGACACCTTGACTCCCTGCCAAACACACTGGGCTTCTGATTACACAAGGATCTGAGTACTGATGCGAGCAACAAAATTCTTGATCAAAATATAACTGGGAGATGTAAATGAACAAGGACACAAATTCATGGGGTTCCTTTCAACAAGAAAGGAAAAGGAGAATCTCTCAATGGGAACAGCATGGCAACTATTTCAACCATGAAATGACTGTGGGGTATATTTTTTTAATTAAAAAACCTGCTAAAAACAACCAGTCTGCCAAAAGTAATTATTAGCTTAGATTGTCAGTGGTATAGTTCAAAGTTTAAGCAACCTCTCAAATGTGTAAAATGTTAGGAAGCATTGGGGGGAGATCAAAGGCAGGTACTTTGCCCTACTACAGACTCTATTATTGCTCTGCTAGGAGATTTGATGAATTAGGGCAAATTAGACCTAAACCTGATGACTGGTTCAGAAATGTACCATTTTGTGTTCATTTCAACACATCAATCAGACTGCAGACCAGATCTAGCTATAAGTGATTTGAACATTACACTATTAGTAGGGAATCAGTGATAAAGTGAAGCCTGTTTGTAAATTAGTTACATATGTATTTACCATTTTATTGGGAAATATATATGTAAGGAGCATATGGATTTGGCATTGTATTGCTTGAACCTGTAATTCTATGGCAGTCTGGCTGGCCTTTTTAAAGCAGCAACTGAGGACTAAAAGGTTGGGAAAGCGGAGCTCTGGTTCTTAGCACTGTTTATGTGGGGTGGCTGAATGGTATCTAGGCAGCTGTCTGTGCTGCATATTATTTGATGCCAGCCGAGTACTGGAGCCTCAAACATGATACTCATTGAATACCTGTAAAAGTGACATGGGGTCACCGTCTGGGGCTCTGCATGGAAATGAAAAAGCTACACAGAGCAAAAATGACTAGAAATCATAATAACTCACCACAGGCAGTTGTTTGAACAATATCAAACTGTAAATTCAGCAGCAGTCATGAAACAGAGTACACAAAGCTTCTCCGCCCCCTAATCATCAGAATGCAACATTTTGAATTTAATCCTTATTAATTTAAATGTTTGAAATGTTTCTGTGCACATAAAGGTGGGAAAACATAGAACCATCCTCTTCCATTGAAATAAATGTGGCAGCTCCTGTGAGCACTTGACTTCTGTGTGTGCTTCAATTTCCCAGCCAGAAAAGATACCATATTTACTCGAGTCAAATGTGCACTTCAATTTTCAGAAACTTGAAACCAAAAAAAAAGTATTTGTAAATGTGTCATTGAATCAAAGCACACCTTAATTTTTGCAACGTAATTTGGCCAAAAAAGGTGAGCGTTAGATTCAAGTAAATACAGTAATTGCTTCATGGTAAAGAGCTATGAAATCTTCTGCATAAATTTTAGTTTCAATCACAATAGAGTTTTAACTTCCAGGTTTCTATTGAGAGTTATAATAGTCTGTTTTAG